ACCCCATGATTGTCAGCGTAGAGCTGTGCTTCCTAAAATTCTCAATCGCTGATTTTCCAAACTAGATCAGTCTTTTCTTACAAGGCACCTCACCGTGGACGCCAATCTATAATCTTTCAGTTAGCAACTGCGCACATTATCGATCTGCACCACCCTAAGATGTCAACAACAATAAAAACAAGGAGCTCTGGTGGCGTAGAGGTGACACGCTGGGCTTCAATCACGTGGTCGGCACTTCAAAATCACCCGCAGCTCCTCGGGAGTAAGACTGGCCTTTCTACTCCCCCAAACAGCTCGCGTCTCAGAAAGCCACAGCGAGTGGCCACGAGTCAGCACTGACCCACTCGATGACAGTGACTTTGGTTTTGGAAGCCCTCAACAAAGAGCCCTGGTGGTGTAGTGGGTTATATGTTGGGCTGCTAACTGCAAGGTCAACAGTTCGAAACCACCAGTCACTCCACTGGAGAAAGACTAGGCTTTCTACACCCATAAAGTTACAGTCTGGGAAACACACGGGGCAGATCTACTCTGTCGGGTCATGATGAGTTGGCAACGACTGAGTGGCAGTGCATGCGACTACAGATCTGCACGTTACAGTGGGAACAAATGCATCCCCCTCTACTCTGTGACACCGATTCTCACACCATTCCATTTTCACCAGAACCTGTCTGTCAACCAAAGGTGGGACAGTCTTGTACATTTCTTGGTAGCTCTATTCTGAGACACTTCATAGGCCCCCGTGATGCAGTGGTTAAAGTGCTCAGCTGTTCAGTGAAATATTGATGACTGGCATCTACCCGCGGCTCTGTGGGAGAAAGATGTGCCAGTCAGCTTCTGGAAAGACTTACCACCTGTTGTCAGCGAAGACCACGTGGAAGCAGCACATTAGTTTGTGTGATCCAAAGATGGCAAGCAATAAAACCCAAGATAAGAGGCGGGAATTGTATTAGCAATTCCGTTTTGAGCATCCACTTCGTGGGAAGCTATGGATGACAGGGAAAGCCCCAGTCCAGCTGCAGAGTCCCCGCGGGACTAAACCTTCACTGAATTCCCTCAGATCATTGACCAGAGATGTCAACAGCAGTGTCCCCAGTCAGAGTGCATCAGAAAGTGAATTCAGGCAGATAAAGCTACGGTCAATTTTAACGTTTATCATTTGTTTTCCTTTTTGACGCATTTTTAATTTGTTCCAGTTTTTATTATTTTCTGCTTTCTTTCACATTGAGGTGTTTCTATATTCTATTGTGTTATGTTGTTGGGGTTTTATGGTATGAATTTCTCTATATGAAATCCAGGATAACTAAAATGATAGATATAATAACTAGATTAATAGCTTCTTATGTTTATGACAGGGTGAATTGGGGTGGGGAATAAGGAGTTAATTACAATGATTACAAAACCGAAGTAAATGTTATAAAATTGATTGTGGTGATGATCACACAGCTCTTCTTAATATATTCAAACCATTGAATTGTAAAAATAATTACAACTTCAGAAACTGTGTGAAACAGTTGTATTGTGACCTAGAGAGTTGTTGTGAGTTGGAATGAACTTGATGGCACTGGGTTTGGGCTTTAGTATCCTACCTTTTAGTATGATAGTAATCAGGACCATTAAAATATAGTCTAAAATACCTACCTATTGAACTTACATGCCAGTCATCTTACTGAACTCTTATTTCCCAGTCATTTTACTGAGCCCTATTATCTTGAATAGTTTTGTTTTTAATATTTTTAGGTAAACAATCTCCATAGAATGAGTTTTATCTCTTTCTCTTTAATAGTTACACCTCTGCTTTCTTTTTCTTGTTGATTTTATCACCTGGGGTTTCTAGAACAGTGGTTCTCAATCTGTGGCTCATGACCCCTTTGGGGGGTCAAAGAACCCTTTCACAGGGGTCTCCTCAGACCATCAGTTAACACATAAATATTTCACAATATATAATTACATATTGTTTTGTGATAAATCGCTATGCTTTAATTATGTTTAATTATGTTCAATTTGTAACAATGAAAATACATCCTGCATATCAGATATTTAAATTACAATTCACAACAGTAGCAAACTTACAGTGATGAAGTAGCAATGAAAATCATTTTATGGTTGGGGGTCACCACAACATGAGGAACTGTATCAAAGGGTCATGGCCTTAGGAAGGTTGAGAGGCATTAGGAAGGTTGAGAACAATGTTGACTCATCATCTTGATAAAAGAGACACTTGTCTTGTTTTCAGCTTTAATGATAATATTATTATTTCATCTTTAAGTGTGATGTTTTAAAGATTTTTAAGTTCCACAGTGTTTTAAGCAATGTTTTAAAAAGCCTTCCGCTAAATTCTCCAATGACATTGTTTCAATGTTTCCTTATCATTCCCTTTATAGTCCACGGTTCCCATGACTGAGGTCCACCTTAAGATTCATTTCTTTGTTGACAGTGGAGTACTTTTAGAGTATTTTCCCACAAAAACAGAGCGGTGTCTAGGAAAGACTATGAATCTTTGAATGCCCAAGATACAAAGACTCATAATCTGTCCTATCCACTGCTGTTTTTTCTTTTTTTTCCTCCTCTGCTCCCCACAAAGAACCAACAATCTGTAGCACTTCGCAGAATACAAGTGGCCTGTAAAACCTTGTTTGTGTGGCCCAGGTGGAATGGAATGCCTTGCGATAGACAGCCCTACACTCTACTACTCTTCACATAACCAGTAGGGGCTCTTGCTTCCTTTGCCTGTTGTTCCGCTTGCTTCTTTTAGTCTGTTCTGCTGGTCAGGAACGCAGGCTGCGTGGCTGTTGGGCTCTTCCCTGTCCACCACCCTGTCGTTCCTTGTTTGTTGCCTCTGCTTGGGTCTTCCTGCTGGAAGCTTTCCCCAGCTTGCCCCCATTGTAGCATTCACTTCATTTTACAGATGCCACTCATTTGAAGTTTCTTTCTTCTTGATATTACCTCTGAGGAATCAGGAGTGGAGTCAGAGTGGACGCCGAGCCCCTACACTGAGAACTTTCTAGACCAGGAGGAAGATTAATGCCAAGGAAACTGGGGCCCTCAGACGTTGAAAGGAAACAAGAACGCCCCCCAGAGCCAACAGAGAGAGTGAGTCTTCTGGAAGTTGGCACTCTGAATTTGGACTTACTGGCCTCGTGGGCTAGTTTCAGTCTAGCATTTAAAGATTATTTCTGTGCCCTGGCTGGCTGGGAAAGAAAAAAAAAAGATGATTTCTGGATATTAGATTCAGAGTTCCCCGAGAGTCAATGTATATAGTATGTCTGGTTTCCACAGGCGTGTGAAGCTCGGTCCCACACTTTTACTCCATTTGGTCTGTTGAGTCTTAGATCAAAACCTTCAGCAGTGGTTATCTGGGTACCATCCATTCTTCTAGTCTCATGGTAATGGAGGTAGTAGTTTATGAAGGCAGTTAAGCCTGTAGCCTTCTCTGATTCTTGGGTCTCCTTGGCTTCCCTCCTTGACCTTCCCACCGGAGACCTCACAATCTCTCCTTGCGGTCAGTTCACTGTCTTGCCTCTGCAGTTCCTCTCTCTTCCCATATTCTTTACTGTCTGGGATGTCCCTGCACTCTCCTGCAAGGGCTCCTGCGAAGCCTTTACGTGCCTTCGAGGCGGTCACCGACTGTGCCTGGCTTCTGTTAATTCCGCTGACGCGCTCACACTTACTGCATTATGCCATGATCCACAGTGGTTGCCTGTTCTTTCTGGGAGTTCTTGGTGGTCACAGCGTGCCACACAGCAAGCGTTTCACAGGGATTTGTTGAATTGGAAGTGTTCAGGCATTAGGGGAGGATTTGCCTTTGATGGCATCGCTTAACACAGGAGATCACCCGTCCTGAAG